TTTAAAGTAGGGTTAATGTATCGGAGAGAACAAAGTTTCATACGGATACAAAAACGTGTTATTTGAGGATAAAGAAAAGTTTTGAGAAAAGATATTTTATCTTTAATAAAAGATAATTTTACATTTGGAAAATGATTTCCAAGGGCGAAAAAAGTTCTCTCAAGATACATTTTTACTCTGAAATATTGTTTTCTTTGCAACCAGAGTGAAAACATTTTCTCTATAAAATACATTCCTTGTTCCTGTTGGTTAGTCTCTACAGAATTGACAGCTGAGATAAAAATATATTGCTTTGAATTTAATAAAAAAAAATAGGACTAAATTGTAGAGCTAATTAAACATATGAACAGATTCACACACAAAACCGACTAAGCTTCAGATATTTAAATAGAATAAAGTTGCTTTATGTCATCATACATTAGGCAAAGAGAAAATAGGCCACTAAGAGATACCTAGAAAAAAACTGACAAGTGTTTTGGATTTTGTGTGGATTCTTTCTTATTGGATGCACCCAGCTGTCATCAAACAGAAGCTGTTTGGGTGCAGAATGGCCCCTTTATCACAGCGCAGCCCTGCAACCAGAATGAGGTGAAACGTTCTGCACAGCATCCACCACTTCCTGCATGTGCATGGAGCCTTAAAACCAAATCTTTCTATAAAGTCAGGCTGTTCAAAAATACAAAAATAAAAATACCTTCATGTGACAAGGCCAAAGCCTTTTTTCTTTTTTCATATTTTGTTTAATTTAGCCAAAAATTTCAATAACTTCACTCGTCTTTTACTGAAAGACGCTGAATATACGCTGAGAAGTTATTAACTTTTCTTTGCTTAATCAATGAAAGGCTTTTTTAAAACAGCTTTAATCCTTTTTAGGGCAAGTTACCGTTTTCGATCCCCCTTACAAATGTCCCCCCGCCCCCATACCTCAGTGAGTTCTAGAATCACAAGATCTATATCCAGACATTGGCTACATGGCTTAACATCTGATTTTAGCATTTGACCGATTAGATGAGCCCCATTACCTACTGTAAATTAAGTTAAAAAAAGGTTAACAAGTCAAGAAAAAAGGTAAAAAGCTCATTGAAAAGTTAAAGTTAATAAGCCTAGTTAACATTATATGTAGGTTTATAAACTAAAAAGTGTCAGTGCCAGTATCAGCATTAATTAAGGTTAAGTTGTACCAAATAAATGTTGTTTCTTTCACTCTGAGTGTTTTTCATGAATTTCTTTAGAAGCACTTTTGTTATTTTTATTATTATATTTAGGCAGGTTGGCGTTTCTTGTTATTACATTGACATTCATTTTTGCCATTAAAATATCCATATTCTTTAAATGTTACTTGAATGTTGCTATGTTTTAGCTAGGACTATCACTATCATTTATCACCGGGCTATATGGAGTGTAATGGAGATTGACTTTTTAACTGCTCTTATTATTAGTTACTTATTTTTTATTTAATAAATTGCAACTTGAGTTTATGACTCCGCCTCGAGCAGCACTTGAGTCACAAAAAATAAAAAGACTGGAGTTGGACCAGGTCTTTGAAGACTTTAAACTAGACTCGCTGAGACTCTATTCTTGGTAACAGTTTTTATCGCCTATAATGAGAAGAAAAAAGAAACCGGCGAGAGCTACAGACTTCAGTTGCTGCACAATGGATGTTGTTCATTGATAGCCAAGGAAAGCAGTGGATTGTGGGATATTAATGGTTTAGAACCACTCATTCATGTTAGCTGCAGCTTTATGATAATTAACACGGATGTCTCATTAAATGAATATTGTTAAATAGTTTAAAAAAAAAAGACTTTTTCATCATTTTGGGAAAAAAGCTAAGCTAGCTGCAAAATTATATGGGGTTGTGTTCAAATGCCTGCCCTAACCCCCTATATAGAACTCTATATTCAGTTCAATTCAGTTTATTTATATAGCGCCAATTTACAACACGTCATCTCAAGACACTTTACAGTTCACCAGATCATCCAGTCAAATTGATTAAAATTTTCTATCTAAGGAAAACCAGTTAATTGCATCGACTCATTGACTCGAAGGCAATCCCTCACACTAAGCATTCCTGTAGCGACAGTGGAGAGGAAAAACTCCCCTTTAACAGGAAGAAACCTCCATCAGAACCAGGCTCAGTGTGAGCGGCCATCTGCTGAGGCCGACTGGGGTTAAAGGAGACAGAAGCAGAGATACAAAAGAAAACTGTAAAAGGCGGCCCGTCCAGGAAACACACAGCCAGGCAGACGAGCTCTGAGCCAGCTCCCATGTCAGAGGATGAAGAGAGCACATCCAGCCAGTCACAGTCAGAGAAACAGGACTACACTGAAAACAGGCAGATCTCCAACATCTATGAACAAAGGTGATGACAGCAGCACAGCTGATATTTCTCTCCAGGATGGAGTCACAGCCAAACAGAACAGACCAGATGAAGCTACTCTGAGAAAAAGCAGAGAGAGCAGAACGTTAGAGATTAAACTAACAGATTCTGTAGAGTGGGAGAATAGAGATGGAATTAAACAGAATGATGAAATAGGGGTCCCTACGTCCTCCAGCAGTCTAAGCCTATAGCAGCATAACTATAGAGATAGCTCAGGATAACCTGAGCCACTCTAACTATAAGCTGATTAGTCAGTCACTTGATTTGGATGGGAAACTGATTTCAAAAAGGAAAGTTTTAAGCCTATCCTTAAAAGTAGACATGGTGCCTGCCTCACGGACTAAAACTGGTAGTTGGTTCCACAAGAGAGGAACCTGATAACTAAAGGATCTGCCTCCCATTCTATTTTTAGAAACTCTAGGAACCACTAGTAAACCTGCAGATTGAGAGCGAAGTGCTCTGTTAGGAACATAAGGAACAATCAGATCTCTGATATAAGATGGAGCTTGGCCATTTAAGGTTCTATATGTGAGAAGGGGGATTTTAAATTCTATTCTTGATTTAACAGGAAGCCAATGAAGAGAAGCCAGGATAGGAGAGATATGATCTCTCTTTTTAATTTTCATCAGAACTCTGGCTGCAGCATTTTGGATCAGAGGCTTTTAACTACAGTTTGTGGACTTCCTGATAGTAAAGAATTACAATAGTCCAGCCTTGAAGTAACAAATGCATGGACTAGTTTCTCAGCATCACCCCTGAAATGGATATTTCTATTTTTTGCAATATTCCTCAGATGAAAGAAGGAAATTCTAGAAACCTCTTTGATATGGGATTTAAATGACAGATCAAAAATAACACCAAGATTTTTTACTTTATTATTTGAAATCAGTTTAATCTCATCCAAATGAAGTGACTGGCTACTCAGCTTCTTTTTCAGAGACTCTGGTCCAAAGACTATAACTTCTGTTTTGTCTGCATTCAGAAGCAGAAAGTTAAGAGTCATCCAGGTTTTTATGTCTTCAAGACATGCCTGTAATCTATGTAATGGGTTAGCTTCATCTGGATTTATAGACAGATATAGCTGAGTATCGTCAGCATAACAGTGGAAATTGATCCCATGCTGTCTACCGATTGGAAGCATATATAAAGTAAAGAGAATTGGTCCTTTTTTTATGTTTCCCCCTTCAATTTTTTCCACTAATTGAAATGTCTTTAAATCCACATTAACATGAATTCAACACACTGCAGTAAACAGATAAATGGAGGCAGAAGATGTCTTTAAGTCATCCATGCACACATTCAGCGACACACAGGAGCTCTTTTAAGCTGGGCACCGTTTCATTCACAACACCTGTCCCATCAACCGGGAATCAGAAATACTTTAATAATCCCAGGGAGAAATTACTTTTGTTACATTACTCCATCTGTAATAGAGTGACTTTAGGACCAGTTTGATATAACACTATTTCATACAATATATATAATTAGGGGGTCCCCGCTCCATCTCACCATCAGTTTGGGGGTCCTTAGCCTGGAAAACTATGGAAGACCCCCGCACTAGTGGATGAAAAAGTAGTGGATTCAAAATTTCCCACAATGCACCTTGAAAAGTAGTGATCTTCTATGGTCACTAGATGAGCAGATAATCCCAGAATGATTTGCAAGAGTTGTCTTTATTTAAAGGAAAGAGATTTCCATAGTTTCTATTATTTATCTTGGAGCATAAATGCCATTTAATTCAAAATACAGTTGCCTGGAATATTGATACTCAAGCTTGTAGCCGAGGCGATGCTAAATTGGCATGGTATCAATACTAAAGACAAGATTTGTTTGCATATTTTTGCAGGGTTTTTTATTTATTTATTTATTTCTATTTCTTAAATTAATAATATTGTCCAATTGTGTTATATTTGGGTCATTTATTTTGTATTTGCATTTAAGTGTAATGAAAATATTTATAATAACCTAAATTGTTTGTCTTTTTTTTGTCCCCATTGATCGATAATACAGAGTATTGAATATTTTTCTGGGTTTTGATATTGAGTTTTTAAAAATTGTATCATGATATCAATATTTTTATAAGGGTGTAAAACTTAAATTAAAAAAAAAGCAAATAAGTTGCTGATAACATTAAGGTTTAAAATCCTAATCTAAAGTGAAGCAGGGGTAGAGGTGACCCAGATTTCAGGTATTTAATAATGTTTATGTCGGTGATTGTAGAAAAAAAATGGGGATGTGAGATTGTTGAAAACCAAACTGAAAACCTGCCAACATTTTATTTACCATAGGTTGGTTTTTCATGTCTGATTTTTACTCCTAAACTGTTTCTAAGATGTAATGATAAACGTATTTTTATTTTAAGCCATGTCAAATAATTAAGACTGCAGGTATTCTTTGCTCTCAGAATAGTTGAACTGATCCATAATAACCTCAGGATTTGCAACAGAGACATCAGGCCTGATTTCTGACTAAATGCTAATGTTATAATGTAGAGAGATGGAAAATCCTTGACGTTTGTAAAGCTGTCATACAAAGCGAACAGACTTTCCAGAATCAGCCCAAAGTTCCAGAAGGGGAAGCAAACAGAGGTGAACCAATAAAGTTTCATTTCTGCTTTCAGGATCATGGGGACTGTAGATTGCCGGCATGACCAGCGGAAACCCTAGAAACAACCCCAATCCCCTTTCCCTGCCTCGCCCCGCCATGGCCAGCAGGAGTCCCGCCATTAACCTGGAGGACGAGGATTCGTCACAGACGATGGCCGAGGCTGCTGCTGCTGATGATGATGGCTTCTGCAAGCTGTGCCTGAGCCTGCAGCCGCCTGCTGCCATCAGGGAGCTGCAGAGCTGCAAGTGCATGTTCTGCACAGCGGTGAGGAGCGATGACACGTCCCGCATTCACAGCAGATCTGAAGGAGGTTTTCTATGGAAGCATGCACTCTATTTATCCTAGACCTTTAATGATGATCCTACTGTTCTCAGGCTGGACAGTGTACTTTACTGCTGATTTTTCTTGATTTAAGTTTTCCTTGTTTTGTGCAGGCAAATAAGACAATTTACCAATGGAATAAGATGATTTAAATTTAAGATAAGAAAAAAACCTCCATTAAATTCTCTTATGTGCATAATATCCAATTATCTTATTTCAAGGACAAAACTACTCACTCCATTAGCGTATTGTTGTATTTGTACGCTCAAATTAAGGAAAAAGAACTCCCTTATTTTACGTATCTTATTGTTGAATTATTTTTAGATCCATTTTTTTCTAATATTAATATGAATTATTCTAATGCATAAAATTAGGTAAATTTGTCTTGAAATTAATGTATTTTTGAGCAGGTAGGTTAGACGATTTGGAATGGAATGAATGGAACAAGATCAATTATGTGAAGAATAAGTAAAAATAGTTTAATTTACTTAGTTCAAGTGCATAATACCTAATTATCTCATTTCGAAGGTAAAATTTATTTGACAAATTATCTTGTTTACCTGCTCAAACTTTTTATTTTAAGAAACTTTACTTATTTTAGATGAGTTTTTGCAGTGCACTGGAAAGACGATCTAGAAATAAGTAAAAAAAAATGTATTAAGTGTATTTACCCTTAATTTGATTAGGTAAATGAGATAGTTTGCCAATTGAATTTGTGTTTTTACTCTTAAAATAAGATAATTACATAACATGCACTTGAAATAAGACAGTGTGATTGTGTTTTCTTATTTTAATTTTAATTTGTCTTCTTCCATTGGCAGGATGTCTCTTTTACCTCCTCAATACAAGAACAAATGCACTTATTTTAAGAAAAGATGATATCTAGATTTTAATTTTTTCCATTGTGTGGGGTTGAATCCATTTCAGATTCTTAGTGTTGCAGTGCAAAAAAAAAAGATAAATCATTTCTTTAAACGTGTATTTGCCTCTAATTTGAGGAGGAAAATAAGATGATCTACCAAAGGAATAAGTAGTTCTGCCTTTAAAGTAAGATAATTACTCTGGAAAAAATTAGAAATCTAGATACGTCCTTTTTTCTTTTCTTTTCTTTTTTTTTTTAACAGTGTCCTGTCTGGCGATGTGGCAATAAGAATAATTGTCTTGATGCCAAAAAGAGCCCAACAGATTTTACTTTCACAAGTGTAGCAGTATGGCAATTGCCATATTGCTCCACTTGTTTCATGCATATAAATTGCTTTATTATATTTATGCAGGGAGTTTTACAGTTTATATGGACACTGCAATGTAAATAGAGCAAAAAAACAGAAGAAGAAAAAGGAAAAAAGAAAAAAAAGAGAAAAGATGAAAGAAAGAGAAGGTAGAAAGGAGACAATAACAAAAAATTTTCAGTCAGCTTCATCACCTGTAACGAGATGAAAAAAGAACAGCACAACCGAAAGACATGCTAGACATAGATACGTCCTTTTTTCTTAAAATAAGTTCATTCTGTTCTTGGATTTAGGAGGTAAAAGAGACATTTTGCCAAAAGAACAAGACAATTTACGGTTAAAAAAGGAAAACACAATTGCATTGTCTTATTTCGAGTGCATATGATCTAATTATCTTATTTTATGAGTAAAAATACTACATTGGCAAACTATCTCATTTACCTACTCAGAGTAAGGGTAAATACACTTAATTTAAGAAATATTATTTTTTTTTCCAGTGTACATAATAAGCACTTGAAACAAGATCAAGAAGTTTTTTTTTCTTATTTTAAAATGGAATAAACTTTTTTTCAATGGTACATTTTCTTACTTTCCTGCTCAAAACATTGGAAAATACACTTATTTCATGAAAAATGTACTTAATTGGTACTGTACAGTGTGTCCATTTTAAAAACCAATATCGATGTTTGTGTGTCCAGGATATTTATAGAGGATTTAGTTTGAACCTGGCTGTTTATTTTTAACTCTGTGTTGATCCAGTCTTGTTTTAAAAAGAAGTCACTAAAGCTGTTTGTTTCATTGTCAGTCCAACAAAGAGCTGATTAAACCCTCCATAGAAAAAAGCCTTCAGGAATTTGACAAGAATCCTTAACGTTCTTAAAAAGCACCGTAAATAGATCAGGGTATATTTAGAGCGCTCGTTCTTTGCTCCATCATCTGCAGTGATGATTTTACAAAAGGGATCCAACGCATTTATCCTTATGCGCATTTTCTGCTCTTTGTTGACAAATATCAGATTTTTCCCATGATGACATGAAAACCTGCCGTTTCCTCAGCTTCATTCCATTTAATTCGTCTTTGGACTTTTCCAGCTCCTGACTTGTTTTTAAAAGCTGCGAGTCATGGTCAGAGTTTCAGTTTCATCCTTGCTGTAAGAACAGCGGTGCTATCTTTGGAAGACAGAGCAGTAATATTTATAAGGGGAGGCCAGACGTTTACGTCTCCATCTGTTCCTGCCAGGAATATCAAAACAGAGCGACTTCCCGTCTCAGGTGTTATTCCCCGTCCAAGTAGCCGGCTTTGGAAGCACAAGGTCACCAAAGGCATTAAAAACACGCCAACATATGGAGCAAGGGGAACGAAAAATGAAAACAGTGCATGCGGATTGTTTCTGTTTTGTCAATCAGAAACACCCGGAGCCCTCTGGTGTCAGATGGCAGAGTTTTCACCTGCGTCGCTCCTCCCGTTTAGTGTCATTACCACTGCATTTCAGGTTTCCGCTCCGGGCTTTTATGTGTCTTTTTCACAGAAATGTAAAATGCTGTTCCTCAAAACTCAGCATTTGTGCAATCCTTACATAGTTAGTTCCTTCTTCCTTTCTAGATTTCACAGCTGAGGCAACATGTGACTGTTGACATGTGGAGGCTGATATAAGGAATGCTTGTGTCCGTCTGTTTTCAAAACACTTCTATTCCCATGCCTGCTTCCTTTATACCTCCATATGATGTCCCCTTTTTTTTTTTGTATGCAATAAAGAGAAGTTTGTTATTGTATTTTTTAAGACTTGGCATTTCTTTTAGCGTTCTGCCAATAATCAAACATCTCTGCTGTTTTTTCTCCCCCCCGCAGTGTTTGCAGCAGTATGTCCAGCTAGCCATAATGGAGGGTGGGGGGGCTCCAATCACATGCCCAGATATGGCTTGCCCTAAAAGCGGAGTGCTGCTAGACTCAGAGGTATGTGCTTTTTAACCTGAAAATGTAATAATTTAACTGAGACTGCAAAGTTGGGAGCACTGCAGCTTTATATCTGACAAAAAATATTTTTAATCTTGTTTTGAAATTGATATACAAATTATTAGCAGAGTCTGTTAGATTATTATTCTTCTTCGGGAGAAAATTCTACTCAGAAATATGTGCAATAATCTGCCTGTGCAGTAAGACGATGGCAGTTTTTTAAGACTCCTTGTTTTGAGAATATATTTCATGCCCTCAAGAAGTCATACGGTGCATTAACACCCAATACACCTGCTGTTGCTCGCCTGGACATTGGCCACCCCAGCCAAAGCATTTCACAGACCAGGCAAAGGCTCCTACGTTATCAAGTCTACAGGATTCACTGAGGGTTTCACTTCAACGTGGTGGACAAGGATTCTATGGAGCAACTTGCATTAGAGATGTCCCGATCCAGGTTTTTGCACTTCCGATCCGATACCGATATTGTTTTTGGACTTCCGATCCGATACCGATACTGGCCGATACCAGTCTATCCGAGCATGTATTTAAGTTTAAGTTAAAGTATTTAGCCTTAGTTGTAAGATTCATGTTGAAAAGGGTTTTAGTACTCTTGATAACATCTAGCCAGCTGAATTAGGTGAGATTGAATAAAACACAATGATTGGTAACAACAAACTTACCTGTTTATTAAGAGATAAACACAAACTGGACAAAATTATGAATAGCAATCTGAAATTGCACAGTGAACAGTAAAACCGTAAACAGTTAAAGGTGCAAGTATTACTGTAAGTTTTAATAAAAATGCAAAAACGGGGAACACTGGCGCAAAATAGTGGAATGGATCGTTTCAATCGGCGAAACTGGAAAATACGGGCCGGATTTAAAAAAAAAAACTGGATCGGCAGTCTGGATCGGCATTTTACATGCTTTGCCGGTACGCATGTTTTTGCCAATATCGGCGTCCCGATCCAATACGTGGATCGGATCGGGACAAGCCTAACTTGCATTGCTTTTTTTTATTTTCGAAAGCAGAACGAAGCAGTCGATATCTCTGGATTCGCCAGATTTTCCAGACTGGAGAATACTGCCACCTTCTCTGGATGACGGCCACTTTCAGCGGCACTTCCACCTAACCGTTCGAGACCTTGCTCACTGGAAAAAATCTAAATCTAGAAAAGTGATTTTTTTTTCTTAAAATAAGTGCATTTGTTCTTGAATTAAGGAGGTAAATGAGACATTTTGCCAATGGAACAAGAAACTTTACACTTCAAATAAGAAAACACAATTGCATTGTCTTATTTCATGTGTATATAATCTAATTGTCTTATTTTAAGAGTAAAAATACTCCTTCCATTGGCAAACTATCTGATTTACCTACTCAACTTAAGGGTAAATACACTTAATTTAAGGAACTTTTTACTTATTTCTAGATCGTTTTTCCAGTGCTGTCCCACATTGGGGGGATGAATCACCGGGGAAATAGAGTTAAGGTGAGACGGTTTTCTGGAGCTCAGACAGGAGCAGCAGGAAATCAGTGCAAGATGGCAGAGAGAGAAGGAAGGAGGATAGCGGCGGAGAAGGCAGCTGCGGGCCAGTGTCTGCACTGGAGCTAGGACGACCAAAAAGTCCTTAAAATGCTTTTTTTAAAAGCCACCCACATACTTCTTTAGAGCATTCCCCACTTTATCCTTTGTCAACAATATTTTGTTTAATCAATTTCGATTAAATGAAACTTGTCTCTTCTGCCTCCTTCACTTTCACAGCCACATTTAGTCCCTGAAACAAATATGACCAAAACAAAACAAATTTGCCAAAAACACCCCATTCACCTGGCTAAATTTGCCACTTTCACCTCGCTCCGCTTTGCAGCGCTCATGAGCTGCTCTGTACATGTGGATAACATATAAATCCTTTGCTCCACCTGTGAAATTCACTTTCCATGTCAGCGTTCCTTAACCAAATGTTATCGTCTCACTGCACTAGATGATTACTGCACTTATTTTTGAGTAGATTCTTCCTAGAAACTCGCTATCCGGCTCCTAACTACACAGTCTGATATTTATAGCCTTTTAATAATGATTCATGCTTATTTCTTCCCAAATTGTTGAGGCAGTAGGGGAAAGCTTGAAAGTGATCTATGGAAAAAGATGGTGGAACAGGGATACTCATAAAACAATGGAAACTCTGCAGCTCATAAAAATATCCTTGTTGCTTGCAGTTATTGTCTTTTATTTGATGTTTTCATTACTGTTAGTGAGGGAAATAAACCCTGTTAAGCATTTGCAGTGCTTATTGCTTTTCTTGTAGTTGTAAAACAGCTAAATGAATTGAATATATAACAGCTTTCAAAAACATAAAAGAGATATCTTGTTTTTACATTCAGTCATGCTGCAGCCACAAACTTTAATGAGTTTTACAATATTTACCACGGAAGTTTCATGACAATCCTTACAATAATAACCTTTTAATAGGTTTATTTTTGCAGAAAGCATTTAAATGCAAACTGCTTCTCATTCCCACTATGTATGAAGTCTTAGAATACAGCTGGGTGCCCCCATAGGGGCCTGAGTACTGCAGCCCTGCCTCTGTTACACTGGAAAAAATTGAAATCTAGATAAGTCATTTTTTTCTTGCAATAAGTGCATTTTTTCTTGACTTGAGGAGATAATTTAGACACTTTGCCAATGTAACAAGACAAATAACATTTAAAATAAGAAAAAAACTATTGCATTGTCTTATTTCAGGTGCATATTATCTAATTATCTTATTTTAAGACTAAAAATACTAATTCCATTGGCAAATTATTTTATTTACCTACTCAAATTAATGGTAAATACACTTAATTTAAGAAATGTTTTCACATTTTTAGATGATTTTTCAGTGTGCAGCCCTGCCTCTGTTACATTGGAAAAAACGAAATCTAGATAAGTCATTTTTTCTTAAAATAATTGCACTTTTTCTTGAATTGAGAGGGTAAAGAGAAACGTTGCCAACGGAACAAGACAATTTACATTTAAAATAAGAAAACACAATTGCATTGTCTTATTTTAAGTTCCTTTTATCCAAATATCTCTTTTTAAGAGTAAAATACTCATTCCATTGGCAGATAATCTCATTTACCTACTCAAAATAAGGGTAAATACACTTTATTTAAGAAATTATTACTTATTTCTAGATCTTTTTTTCCAGTGTAGGGAGCCCCACACTGGCAAAATGTCTCACTTTACTCCTAAATTCAAGAAAAAATGCTCTTATTTTAAGAAAATATGACTTATTTAGATTTAAACTTTTTGCAGTGCATAGCAGCTTTGGCTACAATGCAGCCTGCCACCATCAGTGTTAGTGACTGCAAAAATGATCTAGAAATAAGTAAAAATGTCTTAAATTAAGTTTATTTACCCTTAATTTTAGTATGTAAATGAGATGATTTGCCAATAGAATTAGTATGTTTGCTCTTAAAATAAGATAATTAGATAATATGCGCTTGTAATAAGACAATGCAGTTATTTTTTCTTATTTTAAATGTCAATTGTCTTGTTCCATTGGCAAAGTGTCTCACTTACTTCCTCGGTTCAAGACAAAATGCACTTATTTTAAGAAAAAATTACTTATTTAGATTTCTATTTTTTGCAGCGTGGTGTAAAGCACTTTTGTCGAGTCTCCTAACTTCAAAAGTGCTATTATCAGTACAGGACATTTACCATTTATCTTGTGCATGTATATGATTATTTAATTAAAGTATTTTTGTTTTTTGAAAAAAGTTTCTTCATGTTGAAAATATGTATCTTTTTTTCTTGTCTCTGCCTGTACTTTGATTACAGATTGCCAGCTTGGCGTCTCCACATCAGGCGGAGCTCTATCAGCGTCTAAAGTTTGAGAGAGGTGGGTATTTATTACATGTCTTACACAGCAAAAACAATCTAGAAATAAGTAAATACATTTAAATTAAGTGTATTTACCCTTAATTTGAGCAGGTAAATAAGATGATTTGCCAATAGAATGAGATTTTTTTACTCTTAAAATAAAATAATTAGATAATATGCACTTGAAATAAGACAATGAAATACCGGTAGTTTCTTCTTATTTTAAATGTAAATGGTCTTGTGCAAAGTGTATCATTTAAGTCTTCAATTCAAGACAAAATGCACTTATTTTAAGAAAAAAATTGTTATTTTGATCTACTTTTTTTGCAGTGTACACACCCACTGCAAAAATCATCTAGAAATAAATCCAAATGTCTTAAATTAAGTATATTTACCCTTAATTTGAGTAGATAAATAAGATGCTTTGCCAATGGAATGAGGATTTTAACTCTTAAAATACGGTAATTAGATAATATGCACTTGAAATAAGACAACTAAATTGTTTTTTTTTTCTTATTTTGAATGTAAATGGTCTTGTTCCATTGGCAATCCTCAATTCAAGAGAAAATGCATTGATTTTAGGAAAAAAATTACTTGTTTAGATTTAAATTTTTTCCAGCCGGCCTTAGGGCTGCGTTATCAAGCTGCTCAGTGTTTTTGTTTTGTTTTGCATTAACATGAAAGTTTTTAGCATTTTATAAAAATAAAAAAACCTGCAAATCCCCTTGATTCTTTTGAGAACTTATATTTTTCTGTTTAGAGCCAATATGGGTTTGTTCTGCAGGTATATTTTGTGTCTCTTCCAGCTGTACTGGAACAGTAGCAGATATTATTTACCTCTGAATCATGAGATTCAGATTATTGGAAGTAAAACAAAGGTCAAAGTACTGATTCTTTTACTGCAATGACTCCATTTATCATGTTGCGTAGTGAAAGTAAAAACTGCCATTCATTAACTTGTATGGAATGGTTCTATTTTTTGTCCTTTTGTTTGTTTTAGTTAAGTGGCTTATAGATCTTTGTTGGTCTTCAGAAATATTACATTTAAGACAATGATACGAGTTTACTAGAAGGTTGAGATTAATTAACCACAGTTTGCTTGTTATTCATCACCTCATGTCTGCAGGTATGAAGGTCTTTGGGAATGTTTAATTTAATTAGTTTTTGATAGTTCAGCTTTTTATCAAACACTCTGAAGAAGAAGACAACAAGGTAGTAAAGAGCTATAAACAGACACATAGTTATTGTAAATCACACATGCAGCTGTTCTGCTGTTTCCGGAAGCAATTATTAAAGTCAAACCCCTAATAAATTTGAATGAAACAAGTAGTGATTGTGATTGAGTAAATAGATGCTTGGTAAAATAGCTTCAGTAGTGAGTAACTGTTGGCGCCCAACGTCTGATTTAATGTTTAAATAACGTAATCAGACAGTTCTCTGCAAATTCTGGTATTTTAAAGTATAAAATGAACATAAAAAGATAGCATGTTGACAAAATAACACATTTGGGCAAAAATTTTAATACTTTTTTTCCCCCAACATAAACTTAAATAACAGTCTTTACTGCAGGTAATACATATATGTTGGGAAACAATAAAAACTTCTAGCTGCAATATCTACACTGTCCTCTGGATGAGTAACTAGATGTTTTAATTCAGATTAGTAATGCTCTTACAAGAGTCTTATACAAATAAGTACAATAAAGTACAGCTACCCCTAAAAGTATTTTTTACTAAGTTACTAAAGTAAATCTGAGTATTTGTAACCACCATTAGCTGAGACTTCTAATACAATAATACTCAGGTTGGTATGTCAAAAAGGAGGAAAAATTTAATTTTGTTTTAATTAATTTTTGGTTTTCAAATTGTTTTATTGTTTAAGTTCTGTTTGCCCTCTGAATTAAATTGGTCTTTAATGAATGGTCACTGATTGGCTGCTGGGTGAATTCAGATCAGTCCAGAAAGCTAGCCTGCCCCGGAGCAGGTTTGCCGTTCAGAATGCGTTACCATGGTAACTAGCCTCACTAAGAATAAACCCAGCTTCCTGGTACCAGAACGTCAGGCTTTAAAGCTGAAGTTGTCTCTCTGCTTCGTGGTACAGGCCTCTGATCTAATTTTAATCACATGTAAGAGAAGTCAAAAGTAACATCACAATAATCTCTTAAAGGCCACAACCTGTTGGAAGACCAAAGCACATTTTATAATGACCTTTCAGTTAGATTACACATGTTTATTCAGAATCAAAACTATTTAAACTGTAGTCTAACTGGAAGAGATATATTCATGCTATAGAATATTAATAGGAGAAGCACAAACAAATGTGTGTTTTTATATATATATATATATATATATATATATATATATATATATATATATATATATATGTCTGTTAATGTCTCTGCAGGCGTAAAGCTTGACCCCAACAAAGCGTGGTGCCCGGTACTTGAATGTCAGGCGGTGTGCAGCGTTCAGGCGAGCACCGAGGGCCGACCGGCTGCGGTGGCCTGCCCTGCTTGCCGCACCCTCTTCTGCTCCAGCTGCAGAGACACCTGGCTGGACGGCCACACCTGTCTTGAGCAGCAGCCCATGATAGCCCCCTTCCTGTCTGAGGAAAACAGGTGGGTTCATTTAGTAACGCAGCATCGATTCATTTCTTTAACGAAGGAGTACTTTGCAAAAGTTCTTTTTCGTATGATTTGAGCTTTTCTACATTTTGTCAGGTTACAGTCACATACTGTAATGTATTTGTAAGAATTTTATGACGGATCAAAGGGAAGTGGAGCTTAACTGTGAAAAAAATGAATGCTCATTAACATGAAATCACAAATAACAAGCTGAAATGTTGGGAGAGTGTTTGCTAGATAACTTCAATTCAGTCTGATTGGATGGATAAGATTGGTGAGCATTGGTTTATGAGTCTCACCAAAGAGTTTCAGGTTAACTCTGAAAAGCTTCCCCCACAACATGATTCTGCCACCACCATGTTTGGGATGGATGGACCACGGTTTAGGATTTTTATCTTAGTCGAACACAATGAGAGCTAGCTGCTCTCTTTGGTCTTTATCATGTCTTCACCAAACTGAGATTAAATCACACAATCCTAATATGATTTAGGATGAAGGATGCGAAATACAAATGCAAAGAAATATTGTTCAGCTTTTTAATTGTGAAAGAAAATTATGAATACCATCTTTTTTTTAATTCTACATTTGCATTCCTTAGTGTCCGTCTGCCATATTTCTCAAAGACGCTTTAGTCATGCTGCTGGAAACAAACCTTGTAGAAAATAATAGTTTTTTCTAATTCATTTAGAATATTCCTAAAAAAAAAATGTTCAGTGCAGGAAATCTGATGTTGGACTCTGAAAGGATTAATACTGCGATTTTTAAGGCATTGAAACCAGTGACAGGGCTGAATATCTATGATTTTGGGATTTACAGCCTGGTGTTCCTCGGTGTACGATGGTAGAGCTGCATAATCTGCCAGCTGTGGCTCAGCCAGCCTGACTGATGTCACAGGACGCCACTGAGTTAAAGTCATTGTCTTAGCGCCAGAGGGAGGAGGCTTATGGAGCAGGGATGTGTTAGTCAGATGCTGCAGTGCTGCAGACTAACATCTGACCACAGCATCGCTCGCCGCTATATTCCTTGATTTGACACGTGCTTTTGATATAATCAACCGTAATGGTCTGCTGGCTAAATTAACTCAGTTTAATTTCTCTTAAATTGCCCTCTGCTGGATGAAATAATAGAAAATAAAAAAAAAAGTTAGATAATTCACAGTCCACATTGCTCACTCTGCTGGAGTCCTACAGGGATCAATACTCAGACCACTTCTTTTTGGACTTTATGCCAATTATTTACCCAGTATCAAGAATCTGTATATTGTTATTCTATGCTGACGACACTGTGCTATATATTCATGCAAAAACTTAAAGTGAAGCTGCTGCTGGTCTCTCCAGCGTTGCTATCAGTTTGTCAATGGCTCCAGCAGGCCTGGACTGGGAGATTTTTTTCAGGCCGTGAATCAGTCATGTGACCAGGCCACCCTGGTTACATGACAGGTTTCTTAAGTAGTAAAATGAAATGTGGCTGGGATCTGTTTGGCTTTGTGAGAACCCAACTGAAAATTTAAAGCTTTTATGAACCAGAAAGTAAGTTTTTGTTATATGTTTGAGGTCACCTTCAGTGTTGACAAATCAAACCAAGTAGAGGAACAGACTGGGATCAGCTGTTTTTCACACTGAGCTATCAGAGCTCATCAAAGCAGCTGAGGTTTCTTGATGAAAACTAGTGTTGCACCGATACCAGTATTGGACGGGCCCCCGATCCAGCACTAAAATGGTGGTAATAGTTAAATAAGCGCTTGGCTCTCAAAATGGTATTGGTACCTTATTTGTCGGTACTTACCGATACCATTCTGAGAGTCAATCGTCTATTCAACTATTGCCACCGATTCCAGGTAGGCAATAAAACGTTCTACTGGATTCACTTTGTATTAGATTTTTTGCTGCTTCAAAAAGGTAGGCAGCAGCTTAACAAAGCCATGATGGCAATTATTTTACTTCCAAGTAGTATGCAGTTCTACAAACACAGCAATTTCAAAAAGATGTTATCGGTATCAGCTGATACGGCACAGCCAGGTATCGGGGCCAAAAAATGGCATCGGCGTAACACTAATGAAAACAAAGCAAAACTAATTAAGTCAGTCTGGCTATAATTTTTGTTCCCAATTCCCAGTTAAATGTGATTATAGGGAAGCTCAATTTTTATAGATACAGGTTTATAATATGATTTTATTTTGTATTAATTTTGATTCCTAACTAACTTCCAGGCAAAATATTTGTTTTTTATTTGAAAAGGAAAGCATAGATTTATTAATATGAATTGCTCAAATTAAAAGATCAAGTAAAATAGTCTCTATTTCAGTTATTGTACATTCCACATTCCCAGGCTGGCGCATTCTGGAATACTCCCGATTCTCCGTATGCCCAGTTTATTTCAATTCAGTTTATTTCTATGGTGCCAATTCACAACACACATCATCTCAAGACACTTTATAATTAAACCAGATCATACAGTCAAATTGATTTAAAGTTTTCTATCTAAGAAAAACCAGTTGACTGCATCAGCTTATTAACTCGAATGCAATCCCTCACACTAAGCATGCTTGTAGCGACAGTGGAGAGGAAAAACTCCCTTTTAACAGGAAGAAACCTCCAGCAGAACCAGGCTCAGTGTGAGCGCCCCTGCAGAGTGGAAGAATAGAGATAGAAGGAAGCAGAATGAGGAAATGTGGGTCCCTATGTCCTCCAGCAGTCTAAGCCTATAGCAGCATATCTATAGAGATAGCTCAGGATAACCTGAGCCACTCTAACTATAAGCTTTATCAAAAAGAAAAGTTTAAAGCCTACCCTTAAAAGTAGACAGGGTGTCTGCCTCACATACACAGGTATGGCTCCAGGACTCCTGTCTACGTCTTAACATCAGTAAAACAGTCCGGATTTTTTCTCCCGACAACCAGTCGAGAGTGATGATCAATAGATACAGACAGGATGTGATTGAATATTTGAAATATCTAGAGTGGTCTTTGATTCTAACTTAGAGCAGAATGTAAAGACAATCTCCAATATAATTAAGTTTAATCTTTCTAACTTTAAACATATAAGATCCTCTCAGACTATAGAATCAGCCAAAGCTTGTATGCATGCTGAGATATTTAGCCAAATAAAATACTGCCACACCACAGGGTCTCACACCTCACAGGCCATTCTAGAAAAGCTTTTATTTATCATTGTTGTAACATTTGAAGTCAATACAACATTTTTAATCGTTATCAGATATTTATGGATGTGCTTTAAACTGACTCGCTCCTCCCCTAACAGATTTTATATGCAGAAAAAAACAGTAATAGAATAAACAGCAGAGCTCAGCGGTGTAGAGCCTAATTTGGTCGAATGGTTTCGTCCATCAGAGGAACACGGGCAGAGAACACACTGCCAGGCCATATTAGGGGCTGGGGGGGGGACCTACAGAAGTTTTAATGTTGGTTGAAAGCTAACCAAACATGTGTTCACAGGTAAATTGATCTGTTTTCTTGGCCCTGCCTACCTAATGTTATTGTGATTTTTATTGGCGTCTTATCTGTTTTTTCCCCACTCTGTTCTCCATTAGGATCTTGTTTAATGTTTATGTTTTTTTTTTACCTGCCTTAGGACAGCAAACGCAAATTAGCTGCTGTGCTAATTCAGGATATTTACATTGATGCTTTAAGGCGACATGTTGATGAATGTGCATTGTCCAAATAAAAAAAAAGAAAGGGAAGGGAAAGAAAATAAAATCCTCCTCAGATTCCCTCTCTTTATGTTCTTCCTTTAGCATATTTGTATCTTATTGTTTTAAATCCTGCATTTTTATCACTCTGCTGTTCCTGTTTCTTCCTGTTTGAGCCGCTGAGAACAATAATCAGGGCGCACTTGGACAGTCCCTCTCTGACGCTTCTGTCCTGAATAATTAACCCAGTTCAGGCCCAGCTCCTCGCTCGGCTGCTAAATACAGATTCCTCACATTGGTGAGGAAAATCCAGCGGCCCTCATGCTCTCAATAACTGTTTTCCTGTTGCACCCTCATGCTCTCAACAGCGACTCGGACGTGTCCATCAAGCAGTGCCCGATGTGTGGCGTGTACATCGAGAGGAACCAGGGCTGTGCACAGATGCTGTGTAAGAGCTGCAAACACACGTTCTGCTGGTACTGTCTGCAGAACCTGGATGTGAGTCTCAAGCCTCCCTGAGCAATAAACACCTGCATTGTTCAAATGTTGATCTGTCCCAACAAGCTCTTTAAATTGTTCTAAACGCAGGGCGACATCTTCCTGCGGCATTACGATAAGGGCCCCTGCAGAAACAAGCTGGGACACTCCAGGGCCTCAGTCATGTGGAACAGGACACAGGTGAGGTCGCCAAGCAGGAAGTTTGTTCATTTCAGCTGTGAAGTCTTTGTTTGAGCAGCTCCGCCTCCAGAACAGCCGGTCTGAGAAGCAGGTTCTGGCATGCAAGGGTTTTCATTTCTCACTCCCTACCAGCTCCAAAACAAATGTACCTCAGATGTCACACCTGGGGAAGGCACCAGTTGCAATATGTAGATATTTGGTTTCATGAGATATGAGCCATCAGAAATTAAGTAAGAAAAAAATATTTTTAGAGAACATTTTAGCAGCAGGGTGCTTTGCAGCCTAACAACTTGTCATTTTGTACACAGAGTGTATATAAAAACAAATTTCGTTCAATACAGCTTTCAAGACATTTCCATTTTTAAAGTACAGCACTGATAAAAAGTAAGCAGCCGACTGGAAAAAACAATCTAAAAATAAGTAAAAAGTTCTTAAATTAAGGATATTTACTGTTAATTACAGTAGGTAAATGAGATTTTGAGTTTGGCAATGGAAAGAGTATTTTTACTCTTAAAATAAGATAATTAGATAATATGCAATTGAATTAAGATGATGCAATTGTGTTTTCTTATTTTAAGTGTAAATTGTCTTGTTCCATTGGCAAAATGTCTCTTTTACCTCCTCAATCCAAGAACAAATGCACTTATTTTAAGAAAAAAATGACTAATCTAGATTTCCATTTTCCCAGTGATAAAATATGAACATAAGACTGTATATGATTTACAGTTTCCAACATTCAGGGTTTTTTTTAAAAACCCCATTTGGGAAGAAACTGGTCAAATCAAGGGAAAAAAGTTTTTTTTCCCTTGATTTGAGCAGGTAAGAACATTTGTCAATGGAATACGAACATTTAAAATTAAAATAACTCAAATAAAACTCAAATCTCATTTCAAGCCTGATATTAAATTATCTTATTTTAATGGCAAAAATACTTATTCTATTGGCAGATCATCTTATTTACATGACGGAATTATTATTACGGTATATATTTTATTTTTTTTGCAGCAACTGTCATTAAATTATGGCAGTCATGTTGGATCCAGTCATTCTGCAAAAAATTGAAGTCTAAATAAGTCATTTTTTTCTTAAATAAGTGCGTCTTTTCTTTAATTAAGGAGGTAAGTGAGACTCTTTGCGAATGGAAGAAGACAATTTACAATTAAAATAAGAAAAACTGTTGCATTACCTTATTTCAAGTGCAATTATAATTAGTTCTAGATCATTTTTGCAATGAAAGAAAGCAAACTACCAGCCAATCAAAGACAGGACACCTTCATCCGTTCCAATCTGCATGTTTCCTAAGTAAAAACCAGGCTTTCTTGGGCTACTGTATAAAACCTCAAACTCAGCGCTATTTCTGACATTTTGAATTGAAAAAGCTTCCTGGATGGGAAGCGAAACCTCTTTAAACTTGGAAACAAAATCCAGTGGATTGATTTTAAATTCTTTGGAATAATCTAATAATCTTATTTGAAAATAGAAAATCTCATTCCATTGGTAAATCATCTTATTTACCTACTGAAATTTAAGGGTAAATACACTTTATTTAAGACATTTTTACTTATTTCTCGATTGCAGTGTAAAATTTTTTTTTTTGCTGCAGGTGGTGGGCCTCCTGATGGGCGCCAGCCTCATCGTGCTGGTGACATCCCCTCTCCTCCTGCTGGCCTCGCCCTGCATCCTGTGCTGCGTCTGCAAGCCCTGCAGCAGAAAGAAGAAGAAGAAGAAGAAGAAGAAGAAGAAGAGGGACCCCAGCCCCTCGTCATCATAGCGGCTTCAGCCCCCATGTGCCTCTACCAGGATAACTCCACTAGCATCCTGAACACCACAGAAGGTGCAAAGTGTTGGATGAACTTTGGAAAGTAAAGTTTTTGTTTTTCTTCTGTAGAGACCGTGGCCCCTTTAGCGGGCTGCCTTGATAGATGAGTAAAAACTTTAATGTTAAACTTCAGCCGACAGCTGTCCAGTCGTCACTCTGTCTCAGTGTAAATATGTGGAATGTGAGTCCCCCCCTCCTTTTGCAGCGGTTACTTTCCGATGCATAGCAGCCTATAACTGGACAGCGGGTACTGAATGTTTTGCTGCACAGGGCTCTTTCTTTAACTCTCCTCTGCACACACACACACACACACACACACCTTCACACACACAGATCAAAGTGCAAAGCCACCCTCATGTGCCAAACATCACGATGCCAAACCAGAGGCGTTAAGGGCTCAAGTGCCTCTCTGTACAGTTCCAGGTGCTTGGTGTGATTTCTTTTGCCTTCCATTCTACCTATACTGTATCTTATGCAAAAAAGGAAGAAAAAGAAACTCTGAAAGTAGAAAACAGTTGAAAATCACACAGGGCTGGAGGACTTTGGTGAATATATGATGGTCTTTATTAATTGGTGAAGGTAGCAGATAGCAAAACACTAGCTGTTTAAAATCTGTGTGGAGATGAGACCTAGTCAGACGCTGGATCTGTGTTTCAACCTGGCTTCTGTTCCAGACCAAAGGCTGTAATATAGAATCTATACTTTGCAAAAATGTGTTAATTTAATATTAATGTTTTTTTTTTCTGTCTATTACTGTCTGTCATTTCTATGTTACTGTTTATGTTTCAGCATTTTCTAAACGCATCATTACAAATAAAAACGTTTTATCAAACGATTCTTCATGAGATCTCTTTTTTTTAAACACATACATGATAAGGGGAAAAGAAAAATGCAGCTATGCTTTCTGTTGGAAAAGCAATGAGCTCCAAACATTGGCTCCTGTCTCAAAACTCCTCAAACAGGTTTGCTCCGCGTTTATAAGGCAAGATAGCTGTCAATAAAAACGTATATGTAGTGTATCTGGGATGTGGTGGTGGTGCGGGGGATAGGCGTGCCTATGTTCAGACGCTTCGGTCCTCAACTCAGCCGTCACAGGTTCGAGTCCCGGCCTTATGACCTTTTGCTCATCACCCTCTATGTTTAAAATAATAAAATAAAGGCCACTATGGCCAGAAAATCATCTTTAAGCTAATTGTTTAAGATTTGTTCATTATCAACTGGTCGGGCGGAGCTAGATGAGGGGCCAGGGGTGGCCATGGTAACCCTTAGCCAATCAAAGGCCACCCCTGTGGCCACTCTACCATTTAATTTCCCTCTACACTGGAAAAACGATCTAGAAATAAGTAAACATTTTTTAAATTAAGTGTATTTACCCTTGATTTGAGTAGGTAATTGAGATAGTTTGCCAATGGAATCAGTATTTTTACTATTAAAATAAGATAATTAGATAGTATTCACTTGAAATAAGAGAATGCAATTGTGTTTTCTTATTTTAAATCTAAATTGTCTTGTTCTGTTGGCAAGATGTCTCTTTTATCTCCTTAATTCAAAACAAATGCACTTATTTTAAGAAAAAATGACTTATAAAGATTTAGATTTTTTGCAGTGTAATACAGATGGCGGCAGCAGTTATATTCTCAAGTGGAATATTCAAAACATTTACTTTTTCTGGGATTAATTATACACATCAATATGCTAACATCAAAGATGATAAGTAAAGAATTCATGCTCTTTTCAGAACTAGATTTTGTGTTTTATGGGGTCAAGAGAAAATGATCTCTCTGCAAGCCATACAGGAGTTAATTTACGTAGATATTAGTGCTTGTAAATATCAATTTTATGCAGAATGTTCGTTCATACAAGTAGGTAAGTAATGGAAAAGATTTACGCCCCAGAACTCAAAACGGAAATATTTTTATCCACTATACCTTTTATCTAGAAATTACGAATGTTTAAATATATGCATCTATTTGTTAGCAAAGGTAGTAGGAAAGTATAGTTTGTCTTTATTTAGAAAATATGGATGTTTTGCTGGTTAATTTTCCTGTTGGAACAGTGTAGACTGACCCATAGGTTTTGGTGCCTATCCACTTTCGGCCACCCCTCAGAGTACATTGGTTGTTGCCTGGGCCCCCTCTCGTCTGGCTACGCCTCTGGAATACATAGCTGACATTAGATAATCTGTGAGAATAGTTTAGAACTTATGAATGTGAAGACAAAATTACAAGTTTCTCAGTATGAATCATGTTTGTAAAATTGTGAACCACAAATTTATGGGTGCAAATCACAGCTTTATAAGGATTTATTGTATATTTTGTATAAAAAATACATTTAAAAGTACATATTACAAATTTACCTGTATCAATTATAACTATACTAGAAGAAATTACAAATGAATGGATACAAATCACAGCTTTACAAGTATGAACCACAAATCCATCAGTCCAAATCCCAAATTTATAGATATATGACATATTTACCAGTATAAATCCCAAGTTCATAAATCTACAACCCTTCATAAAGCTGATGCACTCTTTACCAGTTGGAAAGAATTGAAGATTATAGGATGGCGAGATCTGAGCCGTCATTTGTAAAGAAGAGTGGAAAAAATTGTAACACTCCAATAAATGTATAAGAGAAGCCAGGAATAAATGTACACAGTCCAAATGATTACATAGACGGGTTTTCACTCGAGAACTTCACAGAATGGGAATCATGCCAGATAATATACGTTGGAAATGGCCGCTCAGATCCAGGTTCATTTCTATGTCTGTTTGGGAATGATGGAAATTTGACTCCTTTTGGTACGCTGCAAAAAAAATAATAAATAAATCTAATTTCTTCCTTAAAATAAGTGCATTTTTTCTTGATACTATTGTTTTTACTCATAATCCTACACTGCAAAAAATGAAATCTAAATGGGTAATTTTTGCTTAAAATAAGTGCATTTTTTCTAGAATTGAGGAGATAAGTGAGACACTTTACAATGGAACAAGACAATTTACATTTAAAATAATAAAAAAACCATTGCATTGTCTTATTTCAAGCGCATAATATCTAACTATGTTATTTTAAAACTCCATTGGCAAACCATCTTATTTGCCTGCTCAAATACACTTAATTTCAGACATTTACTCATTTTTAGATTTTTGCAGTGCACTGGAAAAACGATCTAGAAATAAGTAAAATTGTCTTAAATTCAGTGTATTTACCCTTAATTTGAGTAGGTAAATGAGATAGTTTGCCAATGGAATGAGAATTTTTACTCTTAAAATAAGATAATTAGATAAAATGCACTTGAAATAAGATAATGCAATTGTATTTTCTTATTTTAAATGTAAATTGTCTTGATCTATTGGCAAAATGTCTCTTTTACGTCCTCAATCCAAGAACAAATGCACTTATTTTCAGTGACGTGCGGTGAGGTTCATAGCTGGTGAGGCACTGACGTCATCAGAATCAGATTTGCAAATAGATGCATAGATTGACAGCAGTTTACAGGTTATGTTTCACTTCTGCATCCTTACACATACGTACAAACTGTAGCTCACAAAACACACATTTCCTTAAAAAACAAAACAAAATAAATGTTATTACTGTCTTACCTTTACTTATAAATGAATAGAAGTCCTCCTTATCTTCCTTCAGTTTTAAAAGTCTCTCTGTCTCAATGGAGATCACTGCCAGGGAAGAAAGCCTTCCTTGATCCGTCCTGTTCCTGCCTTATGTTTTCAGTCTCTTGAGCACCCCCTGCCATGAGGCAAGAGAACTGCCTGCCTCACCTCGAACTTGTTCTCTGCCGTTTATAATCGCTCATTACACGAAACACGTTACACAAACACAGTTGGTGACAAAAAGCTCTGTACATTATATACATAAGCCAAATTATTAGAAATAAGTTCACATATTACATTTGTTTAAACCATTTTATTGACGCCGTACAGCAACATGCTCTCTCCGCTTTGCAGCCAGCGCAGAGCCAGGGGTTGCGCAATCCAAGGTGAGGCAGAGCTCGCTGCTGCCTCACCGGCATCGCTTCCAAGCATTTGAATGGGAAAATAAGAAAATTCAGCGATTTTGAACAAATAAAAATCGAAATTGGTGAAGCTACATGAAAAATGAATATTTTTTAGTACAAACCACCGGATGAATATAACAATTTAAATTACTTTATGATTATATATTTTCTTTCTTTCCATGATGGCTGGTGAGGCACTGCCTCACCTGCCTCCCCTGACCGCACGTCACTGCTTATTTTAAGAATTAATGACTTATCTAGATTTCTATTTTTTTCCAGTGTGCAAAAAGCACTGGACAGTATTGAAAAGTGGACTGGCTTGATTATACCCATGTCACCCCTATTGTTCTTATTATGCTGCAAAAATCATCTAAGAATGAGTGCAATTTCTCACAATGTGTCTTTTATCCTAATCTGAGGAGGTAAAAAAGATTATCCCCCAATGGAATGACTATTTTTACTTTTGAATTAAGATACTTTTATGATAGGCACTTGAAATAGGAAGCAGCACACTCGAAAAAGATCTAGAAATAAGTAAAAATTACTTAAATTAAGTGTATTTACCCTTAATTTGAGTGGGTAAATGAGATAGTTTGCCAAACTAAGATAATTAGATAATATGCACTTGAAATAAGACAATGAAATTGTCTTTTCTCATTTTAAGTGCAAATTGTTTTGTTTCATTTGCAAAATGTCACTTTTACCTCCTCAATCCAAGAACAAATGCACTTATTTTAAGAAAAAACATACTTATCTAAATTTCTATTTTTTCCAGTGCAAATAAGTTTTTTCTTATTTTAAATGTAAATTGTCTTTTTCAAATGGCAAAGTGTCTCACTTACCTGCACAATTGAAGAAACACTATAAGAAAAATTGACTTAGGTGTAATTTTTTGCAGTGCAGGGGATCTATCGCCTGTTTCAAAATGTGACTTTGTGGTTATAAAGTCACAAAGTCACAGCTGGTTGAATGATTTTCAGTGTGTGGAAATCCCAAATTTAACATGTTATAAATTGGGTCATATGATAATTTCTTGGCTTTATTCGATGATGAAATGAGATTGACTGAGGTCGATAAAGGGTTAATTTTCTCAGAACATCATCTGTCTTTTGTTTAATGTTTTTTTGTGGTGTTGTATGAATGGCACCTTATAATATAATTGTATTTTTTTTTTTTATATCTGCCGTTATTAGTTTTTGATAATGGATCAAAATGAAAATGAGAGGTAACAACATGATCGGAAACTGTCTGTCTTTATTTTTTGTTAAATGTTTAAAATGAAAATAAGTAAAAACCTCGCCTACAAAAAACAAAACAAAAGTCCTTCTACTTTCTGATGCTGTACTACTTCATGTTGGTTTTAAATCCCTGTAGATTACATAAATTTGCCACAGGAACATGAGATCGTCATAACATTGAAAGATCTCACAAAAATGTCCCCTGATACTGTAGAATAAAGGTCAAAGGTCAGGCTGCAGTGGAAACCCAACCCGCAGAAAACAGTCTGGACAAATGGCTAAAAATGAGTGAAAAGAAATCAAATATTCAATAAAAACGCAGAAAATTCAAATATCTATTTGACAGCAAAAAAACAAACAGAAAAAGTGGACCTGGCCTTAAGGCTGCTTTTCATTGATACTCAGCAGACTGAACGTTAGGCTCCTTTATGGTTTTGAATATATTGACTTTCTTCATTTTGAGTCTCGGTTGTGGGACAGAAAATAAACCACAGCAGTTTCCTTCCCTATAAACAAACATGTGATTCAGCTGACAGCAGAAAAATGGTCAAAACAAGCTGCTTTCCAAGGGAAACA